TCATTTGTGGGATGAACAAATGAATTCTGAGAATTAAATTACAAAAATTTAGCGATTTCGTAATATCATCTATCCAAATTCGAAATGTATTGTACTATTTTCTGACGGCATGATTTCATATTTTCGTTGTTGTAGTATTTTTATTAATTGTTCTATGTTTTTTATATTTATTAATGAATTTAATCTTCTCCGTAATTTAACATAATTATTTATTTAGTAATTTATGTATTTATGAAATAATTAAATAAATAATATTTCAAATAAGTAAATTATAAAGAATAAAAAAGGGAAGAAAATGGTTAAATACTGTTCATTTGGTATAATTTTTGGTGTAATAGTTGGAGATGAATTTTAGTTTGGTATAAAATTTGGTACAAAATGGTGCAAAATTTGGTGCAGGGTTGGAGATGGCTTAATGTTCTACGCCATGTAATCAAGTGCGAAAATAAATAAAATTGAACGCCATATATAGTGTGGTAAACTCCTAAGGGAAACATCCATGGGTCCACCCATACCACGGGTAAATCCATGGTCAAAAGATCAAAAATACAATAATTTCGATTTTGCAATTTTACAAAATTAACGAAAACAATTAAAAGAAAATAAAGAACAACTCCCTTCCTTTCTTTCCTTTTTTTTTTTTGTTGACTAGTGGGGAAGTAGAATCAAACTCTCCGATTTTGATTTTATCACTATTTCACTATTGTATTTGATCGCAACCACTACTTGAATTAAGATTAGTCAATCTTAATTCACCTCAAGTAACCTACTAAGCAGTAGGATTATATCATTCACGTTCGTGTTTGTTCTCTTCAATTATGGTTGAAGAACACGATTTATGCTTTGAGATATTTCAATGGAATATCAATTGGGCAAAATTCATTGAAGATGGTCAGAAGACACAGGACACGTTATTGCAGGTTCTCTAGGCGACGATAGATTTTCTCAAAGCATTAATCCTCCCCTTAATGATTTTCTTTATTTATGTGAAGATTTCTCTAAGGTACAAATGTATATTACTTATAATATGGCAGTGTTATTCGGTAAGAATAATATAGAATATGTTTAATATGATCCATAATTAAATTAGGGAAAGTTTTGATTAGTTAAAACAATATTTCTTTCTTTTGATTTATTTGACCAATCAAACCGTCCAAAATAGTAAATATATATTTTTGTATATGTTGTTATATGAAAGGTAAATATTGCATCTCGTTTAGGACATGGAAACCCTAAATTTTGCAGCGAAGAATTTGTTTACCTATAGCACCCAATCTATCCTGATTGACTGGCTTACCTGCTTAGAATGCATCAGTTGAACACGTTTTTGGCATATATTTTGAAATTTAAAATTTATTATAATCAAGCAATTCCATAAATAAATAATAAGTAGAAATATAAAACTGGAAACCCTAAAATCCGCAGCGAAGAATTTGTTTACCTATAGCACCCAATCTATCCTGATTGACTGGCTTACCTGCTTAGAATGCATTAGTTGAACACGTTTTTGGCATATATTTTGAAATTTAAAATTTATTATAATTAAGCAATTCCATAAATAAATAATAAGTAGAAATATAAAATATATTTTACTTACAAAAATAAAATTTAGGTTGTATTTTTTAATACTTGAAAAAATTAAGTTTTCGTTTGATTTCCGTTCTTTGACACAAAAATGAAAAATATGACCGTTATCCATTATATCAAACCACTATATTTGACTTTCTTGTATAGGTTCATAAAAATTATATTTTTCATTTTCATTCTTCAAAAAGGGACACCAAATGGTGCCTAAGTTGCAAAAATTGTAAATGGGGTGTAGAAGGGTGTAATGTTTTGGTAAGATTGTGAAAAGAAAGTTTAATGTTTTTGTTTTTTAGCCCCGGTTCGGGTCCCATTATTTCTTCATTGAAATGAAAAATATAACAGTTATCCATTACATTAAGTCACCAAATTTAAATTTTTATCTTTTGTGTAAAGTTTATAACGAATAAATTTTTTATTCTCATTTTTTTAAAAATGAGAAACGGGGCTTAATCTAATCTGTGGAAGAATGGATAGTTGAGATCTCTGTGAGTGTGCAGACAGAAAGAGGTCACAAAGGGAGCAGGGAGCAGGTTGGATTCCTTCAAAACATGTGAATTTTTCCAACTTTTTTCTTTTAGGGCCCCACACACTTCTGACAACCTCGGTACATGAGCACTCTGTATCCCACTACCAAAAAATCTATGTTGACAATATGGGATTCGCCTACTTTAGCCCCATGTCCATATTTCGAAAAATATATTTTTTAAAGTTCATTTTCAAGTTTCAACCATAAATTTCTTTGTAAAATAATCTACAAGTAGATTAAAAAAAAAAAAAAAATTCCTTATTTTTAACCAAGAAAACACTATTTCAAAACACATTTTTCCTCCAAATATGAAGTTGAAACTGGGACTTAATGTAAAGTATACGTATTTTAATATAAACATTATCCTGCAAAAAATACTCATATTCATTTTTTATTCAATTTTTTAATGACTGCTTTTTTTTAAGGAAAACAATAGAAAATGATCGAACCCATAGCTAATGATAGAAGTAGAATATATATTTTTGTTTCCTTAACCTTTGGGTTTTTTAAGATTTGACGAGTATCTGGAATAATTAATGAATTACAACTCCATATTATGCAAGGAGACATTGCTTTTGCTAATTCAAATTGAAAGGTGGCAGTTGACAATTTAATCCAATTTTGACATTAATGTTATTTGCTTTTTCAATTGAGATGGGACGATACTTTGAATCAAAGAATGATCAATATAGTAAGAGTGATTTATTTGTCAACTTTCCACAAAAAAAAAAAAAAAAAAAAAAAAACTCTGCCTTACCGATTTTATATCAATTCGAACTAATGAAGTAGTTAATGGTGAGGTTACCATTATCATTCTTGTAGTGACGAATCTTGTACGTATTCTTAAGAAGAGAAATTTGTCCATTTTTAAGTCTCCTTACCCTTCAATTCAGTACTCATATTTTTGTTCATTGTGCCTCTCTCATGCCTAAATATACCTTTTCCGTCTGACTTGAATTTCGAACTACCGTCTAACATGGTGTCCAAATGTGTGGATAATATACTCTGGATGAGAAAAAAAAATTGAAATATGTTGAGCTGAGTCTTGTCAAATTTGGAGATCAACTTCTTTCTGTTTTGATCCAGAAAAAGTGGTTGAAAGAAACGAGTTCTATTGTTATTTTTTCATTAATTCAGCAATTTCTCTTATGGAGAATTGAGAAGCGTAGTTATCTTTCCGTCACTTTTATTTCGTTTTTCATAATGTAGAAAAAAGCCGTAAGAACTGGCTTTTTTTGTTAACTTCCGTTTGATAAAGTTCGAATAAATTTTGTTAGAAGTAATATTTCTTTTTAAGATTGTGTAGTTAAAAAATCTAAAAAAATTATGAGTTCACATATAATTGTCTTATTAAAATTATATTTAATTAAAAATCAGATTTAAAAAGGGAATCACAAAGGGCTTAATGTTTTTCACTCTAGATCTCGGGATCGAGTGAGTCAATTCAGGTATTTTAATACCTGGAACCACCACCTCGGGTATTTCATAAATGGAATCATTCGACTCCTTGTAATTATTTGAATTAAGCCCAAATCCAAAATGTTGACTCCAATTCGAGTTCTGTTCTATCCATAAATACATTTAATAAACATTTTTAGATTAGGTCATTTCGAATACATGTATCTAATGTGCCACTAATCGATAATATTTGTGTAAAGGAGAAAATCTAGTTAAGAAATCTTCAAAAAACTAAGAAATCCAATTACATGACTCGGAAATAGTGGAGACTGAAAACCACAAAAGAAGAAAATTAAAACATCAAAAATTAAATTAAAGTTTGAGAAGAAATAATTTTTTCTCAATAAATCTTATTCAATCCATAAATAAGGTATGCTGGAGCCTATAATTTTTATATGGACAATATTTAAATTCTTCTGCTTTAAAACGAACTGACTTAAAAAAAGATTAACTAGATACATAAATATATGGTATCAAAAATTTGCAGCAAAACACTCGCTTTGTTTGCGTAAAAAGGGAAAAAATATAATTCAAAAGAAAATCACAAACTCGAGATAACAAAAAAGGTACATCATGAACCAAGTTATGATTATATCAAGTTGAATTGCCACGCGTTATAAAAAATTAAAAAGTCACTTAAGTTTGTAAATAATGCAAGAAATAAAAAGTTCAAATCATAAAAGAATGAACACTTTAATTCATCAAATTACATCACAACCTTAGTTTAAACTTTTTTATTCATAGAAAAGTCAAATTGCAAAGATTAATATATACCAACCTCTAAAAGACAACAATCTAATATAAGATAAAGGCAAAAGAGTAGGGACCAGTCATGTTTTCTTATGGTTAGAGTCTAGAGTTTTAGACAAACTACTATTCAAATTAGGGCCCTGTTTGAGAGTTATTTCGAGAATTGATTTTGTGACCGTTAAGAGAAAAGTGGGAACCACCTGTGAGAGAAAAAATCAAACTTTACAGTTGGAATGGTGAAATAACAATCAAAAATCAAATTTTTTTGGTGAAAAATCACTTCCAAACAAGTTTTAGAGCTTGTAGGTTCTGTAATTTTTTTTATACAGTTTCTATATTGTAAAAAATAAAAATATAAAATTGGTTCTATTTGAGCACTCACATTTCTGCTCGAGGAATAAAGAATCGACTCGGACCTAGTTGGTTCTCGGTTCCCATTCTTAATTTATTATTTATCATCATTATTATTATTATTTTGAAGAAATAGGACAATTTCTTGGTGTGTTTTATGGAAATGAGAGCCTGCATAGGGAATACTTGGTCTTTAACGTCATTCATTTGATAGGGTCCACTTGCCAGCTTTATTTATTCACCGTAGTAACTTTACCAATTGATGAGAAGGTCCAGTAAGTAGTGACCCTATTGTATTGATTCAAGACCTTTTTCTTTTTCTATAAAAACACATCAAACTGAGCTCTTAAAGAGAGATAAACAGAGTGCCCTTCTCATCAATTTGAAGCCTTTCAGCCATGGAAATCCTTCTCAGACCTTCTATTTCTTTGCTGCTACTCTCACTCACCATTTTCCATATTTCAGGTACTCTTCTTCTTTCTACATTGTTGTTCAAACATGTATTCTTTGTTCAATACTCATAACCAAATCCAAGAGCTTAAAAGGGTCAAATATATTTACTTAAATCTCGTTTTCAACATGTCAACGACGTCACGTGTAGATCAGATTCATAGTTACTTAAATCTTACTATCGACACGTCTCATTACGTGATCAGTCTTGACTACACAAAAGGTGTCAAAAAGACTTAATAATTACACGTCTAATACTATAAAATCCAACTGAAGAGTAAATCCACAAAACAAGTTTATCTGAGCTTCAAAATGAATAAAAGTTAGTTTTTATGTAACTTTTATTTTTCAAGTACATTTGAATGACTTATTGTGAAATTTTTTTCTTGTGCTGAAAATGGCTCGAACAGTGGAGGTCTTAGCCACAACAATGACATTGTATAACAAGTGCAGCCACCCAGTTTGGCCAGGCATCCAACCGAGTGCTGGCAAACCCATTCTAGCGCGTGGTGGCTTCAAGCTGCCACCAAACAAGGCTTATACTCTCCAACTCCCGGCCGGGTGGTCGGGCCGCATCTGGGGCCGCCACGGCTGTTCTTTTGATGCCACCGGCCGCGGCCGCTGCGCCACCGGTGATTGTGGTGGTGCCCTCTTCTGTAATGGTATTGGTGGGGCGCCTCCAGCCACCCTTGCTGAGATCACACTTGGTAATGACCAGGATTTCTATGATGTCAGCCTTGTTGATGGGTACAATCTTGCTATTTCCATTACACCCTTCCGAGGCTCAGGTATGGATTCAAATTATTTTTAACTTTTGAAATCACTTATAATTAATAGTAAATGTTAATTTATTACTTTATTTTACAACCTTATTGATTTATAATTAATATTTAATGTAAATCTACTTGGATCTGTATCTTACCGTTTTAGATTTTTATACTTGGCTGCTATGGTATAGTATAATGCAAAAGTAATGAGGATTTTTTTTCTATGGACACGTTTTATGAGGAGTTCTAATTCACTTTTGTAAAATTTTACCCCTCATATGGAGCAATGACTCTGAATCTTTGTGTCCAAAATATTTTGTCATACGTATGGTCCGTTTTAAGAGACCGTCTGCTCACTTTCTATTGCGTCTCAGAATTCAAACTTATAAGACGACTGTCATTCTCAAGTCGAATCTTGATACTAAAGAGGACGGTACTTATAAGCTAACAGCTTGAGGATAGAGGTCCGAATCGTTACTATTGCATCCCACTTTTTTTAAGAAATAACGTTTTATGCAATGCAGGGAAATGTAGCTATGCCGGGTGCGTGAGCGACCTGAACATGATGTGTCCGGTCGGGCTTCAGGTTCGATCTCACGATAAAAAGAGGGTGGTGGCTTGCAAGAGTGCTTGTTCTGCATTCAATTCGCCAAGATATTGTTGCACCGGCAATTTTGGGAGCCCACAATCTTGTAAGCCCACTGCATATTCAAGAATTTTCAAGACTGCTTGTCCGAAGGCTTATTCTTATGCCTACGATGATCCCACCAGCATTTCCACTTGCACCGGTGGAAGCTATTTGGTCATATTTTGTCCTCATCACTAGGATCCTTTTTCTAATTATGACTTCTTCTTTTGTTGGGTTTTAGAATCTTAAATCTTAATTAGTATTATGGATCCTTGTATTGATGATTTTGAATACTAGTTGGTGATGACTAGATATTAGTTGTGTAATTGGAACAATGCTATTTATCACATAGACGGTCTTTGTGACATAGTGGATTCCCTAATTCATTATTCCATAGAATTGTGATGTATTTGAATGCATTGAATAATAAATCTAGGTTTTCGCTGTCATCCTAAACCGTTATTTGGTAAATTTACTCAATTGAAGTACCCTATGGTGAATTCAATACTTTTCAAATCAAGGTAAAATTATCTACTGTAAGCTAAGCAACAAAGATATAATGCATGAATTAATTGGTGAATAAGTACATGGTAGGTTTTGTTAGACTAAGCTCCCGTTTGATCTTCATTAATTTTCTTTCCATTATATTTTATTTTTCTATCTCTTATTTTCAACCACAAAATTGTTCATAAAATAATATTACACATAAATTGAAAACTTTTTCTTCTTTTTCAACCACTTATTTTTCAAAAAAACACTATTCCACTCATTTTCATTTTAACAAAACAGGGGCCAAACGGGGACTAAATATTAATGAATGAATACCGAATTAACAAATATCGGATGGATATATACGGAATTTACAACTTACCATGTTGACATATACCGTATATGCAACTTATCGTATATGCAGTGAACTTAGATACTAGATTTGCACGTTTTGTACATATTATATATGCAGTGAACTCAAACACTAGATTTGTAGTGAACTTATCGAATATTAGCCAAATTTATAGCAGATTAAATTACAATAAAACAGAGCGAGTAAAGAGTTAATCGAATTAGCCAGAAACAAGTAAAAAAATTAAATCTGAACCGAGACTTGTGTGAACACAATTTCCTTAAAATATATTCACCCCTTATCATAGGTGCTTGAGGATTAATTCAAACATCTGTCTCCCAGAATATAAAGAGGAACGGTAGAATTTAAGCACCTCAAATACTACTCAAGCGAACAGAACTTGTGTCATAACAATATCACCAAAAAATTCGGACAGAACAATGAACTATATAACTGTGAAGTATGCTAACCAAATTTATGCAAAAACTGGATTGTTTTTTCTTGCTCTTATGTGAATAGTAGAAAATGGGTTGCATATATAGGCTTAACCCCATGAATACTATTAACTCGTATTATAATGACAATGAATATTGGAGTTTCAACAGTTTTAAAATTTAAAAAGTCATTTGGAGGAAAATGTATGCTCTCCTACGGGCAATTTTTCAAGGTCCAAAACCTATTTCAGTCCAATTTGCCCCCTGCGTGAACGTAAAGAGAATCTCTATACTGTACATGATCACACATTTTCAAATTGCAATTCTATATAAGGTGGTATTTGTCTTTATTCCTTTCCTATGTAGGACAAACTTTAATTGATTTCCCTACAATATATAAACTCCTTTCAATTGACACACTTTGAACTCTAATTTCTCATTCACCTGAACATCATTTTTGGAAAGTAAATATATGATTTCGATATTCTCACGGAGGAAAACACAAATCAATCTTGATCTTCCAAAATAAACGATCGGCTCCCGCTCAAATTTTATGCAAAAGTCAGCCACTCAACCCATTTTCCCAACAGATTCTAGGAATTAAATGATCTATCAATTAATCTACGCTACATTAAAAGTGGGGATGGTGGAGATATTTTTAAATACTAAATTTACCCCTATATATATTTAACCATATGCCCACTATACCCTCATAATTGGAATATCAATTTAATTAGTATTTATCATTTGGTTTAGAACTAATATAATATAATAAGTGAAATATTTAATTTATATTTATCATTTTGGAATTCAAAAAAAAAATAAAAATCAGTGACTTACTATTCAATTGACCATTTTGGTCTTACAATTTTTATTTACACCAACGAATTAATTTTTATTTTTCATAACAAAACTCTTATTATTCTTCATGATTTACATTATAATTCATGCAATAAGTTTTTATTTTTCATCAAAAGAGAAATTTTTAATCTTCATACTCTATATTATAATTCATCCATTAAATTATAATTTAATTGAGGTTACAAATATTTTAAAGGTTGCATTAATATATTAATGAGGATATTCAATGAATAAAAAAAAGAATTACACACGAAAATTCAATGACTAACATTAAATTGTTTTTTTCTTTACAATTTTTAATTTTCATCAACAAAGCCCCTACTACCAATTTAATTAATATTTATCATTTGATTTAGAATTAATATAAGTGGTGAAATATTTAATTGATATTTATCATTTGGATTGGAATTAATTTAAGGAGTGAAACTAACAATTAAATATTAAAAAAATCAATGAAAATTTAGTGACTTATCATTCAATTGAGTACTTTGTTTTTACAATTTTTATTTTTCATCAACAAAAACCCTTATTAATCTTCGTGACTTACATTTTAATTCATCCATTGAGTTTTATTTTTCATCAACAAAACCCTTATATTCATTGAGGTTACAAAATTGAGAGGTTGCATTAATATATCAGTTGGGATATTCGATCACTAAAAAATATATTGTGTACAAAGAAGTATTATTGTAATTATATATATATATATATATATATATATATA